CGGGGACAGGTCGCCCCAGCAGGAATACCATGGCAATCAATAGTAATAGAATGCGACCTGTCGGGGACAGGTCGCCCCAGCAGGAATACCATAGCATTTAATAGTAATAAAATGCGACCTGGCGGGGACAGGTCGCCCCAGCAGGAATACCATGGCAATCAATAGTAATAGAATGCGACCTGTCGGGGACAGGTCGCCCCAGCAGGAATACCATAACATTTAATAGTAATAGAATGCGACCTGTCGGGGACAGGTCGCCCCAGCAGGAATACCATGGCAATCAATAGTAATAGAATGCGACCTGTCGGGGACAGGTCGCCCCAGCAGGAATCCCATAACATTTAATAGTAATAGAATGCGACCTGTCGGGGACAGGTCGCCCCAGCAGGAATACCATAACATTTAATAGTAATAGAATGCGACCTGTCGGGGACAGGTCGCCCCAGCAGGAATACAATGGCAATCAATAGTAATAGAATGCGACCTGTCGGGGACAGGTCGCCCCAGCGGGAATACCATAACATTTAATAGTAATAGAATGCGACCTGTCGGGGACAGGTCGCCCCAGCAGGAATACCATGACATTTAATAGTAATAGAATGCGACCTGTCGGGGACAGGTCGCCCCAGCAGGAATACCATGGCAATCAATAGTAATAGAATGCGACCTGTCGGGGACAGGTCGCCCCAGCAGGTATGCCATAGCATTTAATAGTAATAGAATGCGACCTGTCGAGGACAGGTCGCCCCAGCAGGACTACCATGGCAATCATTTTAATAGAATGCGACCTCTAGAAGGTGAGGTCGCCCCAGTAGAAACAATATTCATAGTACATTGGAGTTAGGTACATACCAGATTGATTGTGGCGTCACTTAACCAGAATACGACTCAGTATTCTATATATTTGATGAAGGCTTGATGGGACTCGTAGTTACACCGTAAATCACTACCACACAAGCACGATTAGAGAGTTTTAAAACCTGACAGCCGAACGAGGGCTGCAATTGTTTGTTTTAACACCAAGATGAGCTACTTTAGCTCAGGAAAAAATACACTAGCGTAAGCAAATCAACTGACGGAGAGCGGTAGATCAGAATAGATCGAAATCTCACAATGTACTGTCCCTTCCTTATGCGGGCGCCTCCGCCAGGTACCATGTCTGCCTCGACCCTCGGGTTGCTTATTGAAAATTCTCAACCCTCCATAAAATCAATATTTTGTCAGCAAGTTCACTGTAATCTACCTGGCTGGAATCTTTATGACCTTTTGGGTCGGTTTGATGAAAATAGGTACATAAAGAAATGCATTATTTTAGGTTTTCGAATCGTTTATTCTTTGCTGAAAAACAGGCAGGTTTTTAAATTCACATTTGAAACAGTAAGCCTTATTTTAACACAATTAAATTTATTTTTCCTTGATGCAAACTAGGGAATACCGACGCTTCTATTTCGACAGCTTTTTTTATGATTTGATCAATATTAAAAGAATCATTTAAAGTGAGAGAGGCTCTCATTATGGGTTTAATGAGACCTTGACAAAAAATTGACGGTATAGTTTTTTCGAATATCTGTATGTGATCTTTTCTTTTTTGTTCGTTAAAATTATTTAAATGATTAGACGATTTTACGAAATTTCCAAAGATATTTTTAAGCCTAGTTCCATATTCCCTTACTGATTCATTGTGATATTGTTTGCAACTCATTAGATCGATACTCCATTGAGCAAAACTTTTTGTTTCCGTAAAAATAGCAGTTAGCTCAGTTTTCAATTCCTCCCAATTTTCAAATGAAATATATCTTGTTTTTTCAAAAGCAGAACCCTCCAGTTTCATTTTCCAGATTGCCTTTAAAAGTTTAGGTTCTAATATGTCTTTGACAGTCGAGTCTATTAAAGAAATAACTAATTCGCATTTGGACAAAAAAATATTTAACTTACTCCCCTCTTTTTCTCCCTCAAACACTGGTATCATATTAAGTAATTCTATCATATTCTTAGACATTTTAATTCACAGAAAGGGAATGCCAACAAAAATTACAAAAAAAAACAATAAAAAAAAATTAAACCTCAATGTACCTTTTTTTTATAAACAATTAAATATCAAACACAAAAAAAATTATTTAAACAAAAAAAAATCAGTGGAGAAAGTAACACAGATTAGAAGGTTCTACTTACTTGCAGTTCGCCATCAGTTTCTCGGGACAATTCTGTTTCCAAAGCCTATGATGCGAAGCTTGAAGTTTCCGCTGCCACCAATGTAACGATACCTCCAATCACACCAATGTTATGATCACCTAATGTTCACCAGCAAATCACGAGGGATTGTGAACTCAATCCGTCAAACTCGCACCAATTAAGTAAAACACGTTAACTCGATTTTATTCAAAATGGTTTATATTTATTCAAGAGAGTTTATGTTATTTAAGAGAGGAATACTTTTAGAACTTTAAAATATAATGTTTACAGCCTCAAGTTCGGAATCTGAATGTCTTTTTCCAACCTTCCTGCACAGCAAGAAGGCAGCCAAGATCCTATATCAATAAAAAAGGGGGTTTTCATATTATTCTCAAAAGGACCCAATATTGCTCATTTATTTATAACTTTGTTACTTTTGAAAGTTCACACATTCATAAACTTAAAAGTGAAATCTATTTGGTTGGGCAAGTATGTCAAACATTCTACAACGTAACAATAATAGATAAATTGAGGATAATAAAATAAGGGTCGGAAAGGATAACTTTGGATGTTAAACCGCCCAGGCACATCGGTTAAGTTTCTGTGAACCAGATGACAATTAATATGAACCATGAAGTATTACATAATATTTGTTATTAACAATAAGGGAATAACGTTACACGTATTTAAAATAATCTATGCATTTCCATTTCTATTTGCCAATGATTTACCAAACTCAATTTGTATTTTTTTTCAGGAAATAACTACGTAGCAGTGAAGTGAGTGTGCTGATAGGATGGGCGTTGTCGCCTTGTTGTAAGTAATTATTATTATTATTAGTTCAAATTTCAGTAAATACCTTTTTATGGAAAGTACAGGTACCGCCGGTACCAAGATGCTGTGCCGTGTGCCGAAGATAACCTTTGACAAATTTGCATTTATGATTGTAGTCATTCGATTGACTATTGACTGTAGCTAGTTACTTACCTGTTAGTTATATTGTTATAATAGGTGAAGTGTGAAGTTAAAAAGCCCCAGTAAGTTATTTTTCCGGGTTCACAACTTAGACCTTCACAAACAACATGACTTTGGGTAATATCCAGCTAATAATCTACTACAAATTTGTTGCAGATTATATTTTATTGTAATTTTGCGTGCGGAAAAAAAAATTACCGCACGGCGTGCGCCAAAATAGTTTTTAACGCACTGATTTTTTTTTTCAATTTTTCTCTCTATGTCACGCTTCTCGAAAATTCTAGATTTTTTCAAAATTTCTCCAAGGTTTTTTCTCTTCAAGAAAGCTATATGTATTAGCTCTTGGCACTCACTAATATCAACATATTCGATGATTTTCATATCTACCATAAATGATTATGTAATTCTACTTATAATAAAAATAATTGTTAATGTTTAGTTGTAACTAATTAAAAAATCACATGTTTGACCATTTCTTCATGTATTATATCCAACACTATTTTTTTTTTTTGTTCTGCAAAGGTAAACTCGTGGGTAACCCACCTTACCGGCCAAAAGTTGACAGCCAATTTGACAAAAACACCCAAACGACCATTGGCGAAGCATTTTTTTTTTAAATTTCATAAATGCAATAAATCATACTTAGACATGAGGTGTTTTTTCTCGGTTAAATTGGTTAAACCAGGTTGAACCTAATTTAAAACATTATATTTTCGCGTTGAACTAATGAAGTCATAACAAAACTGTTTGAAAATATTTTGAAACGAGATTTCGCATCGGTTCAAAAACAAACGCATGCGCAGTAGTGTAGGAAAGTTGAGAGTTTGTTATTTATATTTATATTTGTGTTGTGTCTTTTGTAGGGGGTTATAGAATCATAAACAGAACACTCTTACATTTTTTGAAAAATAGAAAATAGGCGGCTAAGTAGAGTGCTTTCACAGCTATCAGACCACATACCCACCTCTACCACGTAAAACCCCCCTCCAGCACAGCCATCATACCACTACCCACCACTGTAAACCCCCTTCCCTGAAGCTCCTACCCTAAAATCCCCCCACTATGATCCCCACCAAAGAAATTATTTTACTGCCCCTCCAGCACAGCCATCATACCACTACCCACCACTGTAAACCCCCTTCCCTGAAGCTCCTACCCTAACATCCCCCCACTATGAGCCCCACCAAAGAAATTATTTTACTGTTATATACCCCCCTCCAGCACAGCCATCATACCACTACCCACCACTGTAAACCCCCTTCCGTGAAGCTCCTGAGCACTTTTTTGATTCAAGTGCCCCCAGACCTCTTCTACGTAAATGGTTCAACAGATTCACAAATTTTGGGGTTCGCCCGGGTCAAATTCTAATTTCGGATCAAAGGCGCCGATTTTCCCACGATATCGAAAAGGTTCCCACGCTATCGAAAAAGTTCCCACGCTATCAAAAAAGTTCCCACGCTATCGAAAAAGTTCCCACGCTATTGAAAAGGTTCCCACGCTATCGAAAAAGTTCCCACGGTTGACCCGGGTCAAATTCCCAAAATTTCAGATCGCCAATTTTCCCACGGTATCAAAAAAGTTCCCACGCTCAAAAGCCTTCAGCTATCAAAGCGATACCCACCTCTACTACATTAAAAAACTTCTACTCTGAAGAGGTACCATATCCCTTCAATTTCCTGAAAACTAGAGAATACAATTCCTTCATTTGTATTCGTGTTCAAAATTTTAGTTTTGCGGTTCTCAATATTTTTGAGTGGAAGGAAGTGGTGAAAAACCTTGCCAATTTATTGATACATCTTCGAAAAATATGGTTTGATGCCTAATTTTTTTTTGCTCTTTTTGGGCGGGGGTCAACGGATTATGGGTTGGATACAACATCTGCTTCTGGGTTATTGCTATCTACCATAAAGTCCTCAAGAATTGTCGATGGTAGGGTTTTGTTGTTTGTTTGTTTTTTGCTCGACTAGTTGATCTGATGACACCGCATTGTTTGAACTTTTGGTGAGAAAAGTTATGAGTTACAAAAACAACGAACTTCATTAAAATCCCTGATAAACCAGTATTTTTTAAAATCCACTCAAGAATTGTGCTTTGTGATCTTCGAAAAATATGTTTTGATTTTTTATAAAAACCCAATGAAACAATAAATTAAGTTACTATTATTTTATTAAAAAATTATACTTATAAACTACAATTTTGCAAATCTTTCTGTTTCTTCTTTTCTAAACTTTCTTCTGGGTTTTTTGCTCAATTTCGGCGGGGGGCACCGGATAATTTTGTTTGCTGAGACATAAGTTTGTGGATTATAGCTCAACATTGGAGGGTCTTCATCCCAAGAGTAGTCTATGGTAAGGTCTTGATTCTGTTTAAAAATATTCATATTTATAGTTGTTTTATGTCTGTTAAGCTTCACTAATTTACTTACTTAATTTGATGACATCTTGTCAAGCTGACTATTCCCGTCAGCAGAAGGGCTGCTCCGTTCAGCCTGACTTATGGTTCCCTGCGGTTTCTATAAATTATCAGTTAAATATTTGTAAACACACAATTTCATTATTTTACGCCACTAGCTTTGTCCAGTAGGTACCTTTGCCAGTCAACGTGCCTTACCCATCGATTGTCGCCGATTAATATCAATTGATCTTCTTCTCTCTAGGTTTGAAAAAAATTATAACAAACATGCTGTGATGTTCAAATATACTTACCGGGGGTTCCAGGGATTTTTCAACCCACCAAACCGACGTTTGGGGCACTTGCTATTTTAAAGAAAAAACATTACGGATCAAATTAATGCGCTATATTAAACAGACTTACTTGAGTTTGAGCATTGCTACTTGGTAACATGTTTTGAGTCATCTTGAAACAAAAGCGATTGAATGAAGTCTCATAAATATTGGCTTGTTTATATACGTTTTCTTTTAATTTTATTCTTTAGTAAGTGGTTTTCTTTCTGCAAAAATATGTAATTATCTGGCATCTTTGTGTAGTTCATTGATTTTTATTATGGGTAAAGATATTCACAAGGTTAATTCATTATCTGGTCAATTATAGCGTTCGCAATACAAGTTTGTAAATTATGGATCTCTTTATCTCACGATTGTTTTAATTACGTTGATTTAAAATGCAAAATTGCAGTAGGCCTCCATAACAGATTCTTTTTATTCCCCTATCCCATTTTCTATCTGTTTGTAGACATATTTGAAAGATATTTCAAGAAAATTTAAAAAAATAATTTTAAACATTATTTACATCAATTCAAACCGAATAATTTCGAAATAATATATTTTATTCGTAAGCGGTTACCCGTTGTACCTAATGCATGTCGGCTGCTAAAGGAATATACTTTTTAGTACTATAATATTGGACCATAGAAAAAAACTGGAGAAGAAAGTTATTTTTGTAACTTATTGGTAACTTTCAGAGACATTAATATATTGAGCGATGATAATATTTGTGACGATGAAGACGTTAATGAAGTAATTAAAGTGCTTCAAGGATTAGCTTGTGATGCTATAAATTGTGATAATTATAAAAAACATATAATCATTTGAAAGTAATTATGCTACCAGCAGAACTCTTGTTTCTTTCTGCATTTTTAAATAGTACTTTGTTTATACAAGTCAATTACAATGTAAGAGAGAGACGTTTATATGTTTATCAGCTAACAATGTAAAAAATGATACATGGCCATCAGCATGGAAAATAATGGATTATTTGAATAATGGACATTATTAAGAATAATCAAAATTACTCACGATGGTGGAAACGAAATTTTTTTGGCTGGTGAAACTATAAATGAACTTATAAATTTGGTTAACTTGATAAAGTTACGTTTTGATCTACTTAAGAGTCAAGAATTTTTAAATTATTACAACAGAGTAATAAGCATGGTATCCAATAAAAATGGTGATTTGAACAAAAATGTATACGAGCGCATTTCACCTTCAACTAACCCAAATAGTGAAAATGCTTCCTGTGTTTTGGAATTGCTAATTTTCCATTCTGATCGTATTATAGAAGATGTGGAAACATATGTATGTATTTGTTAATAAATTGGAAAATAAAAAATATTAGTACCAACATACCTACTGTTTATTACCTCCCTCCACTAAACAAGTAATATTTAGGCTTCAGGAGCTGTTTTGATATTATATAATTAGTCAAGGTGTAGTTAGCTTATGTGCAAGAAACTCCAACCTACAGCTTGACAACAGCAGTTGAAAATTTGGCACAACTTTTTAGAAATTTGGAGTTTGATGCGGAGCATGAAGCTAATTGTGGATTTGAAAGGTTCAAAACGAGCGAAGAATGTATGGAACTTGCAAGAAAATATAGCAAAGCGGAGGAGGCTTGTAATACCTACTTACATACTTTGGATCTGACAACATTCCTTACTACTATAAAACACATGGATTTTGCTCATTTTTTAGATAAAGTTAAAAAGTTTGCTCCGAAAGAAATTATTCAGGTAGTGTTTAATGATAAGTTAAATATGTAACTTATATCATTATCAAATAAAATAAACAAAAGTTCAAAAAATAAGTGTTTTATTCAATCATTATAAAATTATTATATAAATAGAATACATTAGTAAGTGCACATATACATTGTGATTGCAGATGGTAAAAACATTCAGGCTGTCCTTTTTGAATAGTCGGCTTATCTTCAAATTCCAGGACAGGCTTCAATGAGTATTTTCTAATGTATTCGGACTTCTCTTTCCCTTTTACGTAAACATTGTCTACTTTTCTTGTTAGATTTTTGACAATGTCTGCAAATTTATAAATTGGAGTGTATCCCTCATTTCAACAAATACAATGATGATTATGAATTAACCAATTTGCTTTGTTTACATAAATCAGGTGGCAAATGTTGAATATCAAATGATGGTCTAAAAATATAGTGGCATATTTTGGTACCATCATAGGCAGCTAGTTCCTTGGGTATAAATTTATTATTTTCTATTGTAAATCCTTGCACATCCAGCACTAGTTGATTCATATTTTCATATTGGAAAATGCTTTAATCATAAACTTTTTTTCTGAGTATTCTCTTATTTGTTTTTTTAATTGCTGTAACTTCTTCATGTAACGAGATAGTTGTACATCCAATTCGGTCTTCATAATACTGATAATTTGAGATAAATATCTGATTTATATAAACATAAAAGCTTGTGCATTATAGCTGCTTTACTATTTTGGTTAGAGGATTATAGCTGAATATTTCATCATGAAGGATCAGACAGTATGCAGAAGTATCCTTTTTGACATGGTGCTTGTTTCAAATTCAACTCTCATGACAACAGATCCGGTTTGAATTGACTCTTTCTGATGAGAACAGTCGATGTGTGTTATGGGAGAAATATTTTTGGAATCAGTGGGATTAAACACTGGCTCAGTTGCAATTCCATAATAGGAATGTCTGAAGACATTTCGTATAAGGCAGAAAAATTATTGTCCTTGAAATTTAAGTGCAAATCATGATAAGGACAACGTTCAGAATTTAAAAATGCTCTTATATTAGTTAGATCAATATCATCAAACTGACTCATATCTTTTTTAACTTGTCGTTTCCGATCTATTTGAAAGGCTACTACAACATGACGAAGAGATTCGAGTTTATTTGTTGTTTTCACTGGTCAGGTATGTCTAGTTGCTTCTACTTAAGACGAATATTCAACAATTTCCCAAGTTCTAAATCCTAGAAAGATTTCTTTGTTAGATTCTAGTATTTTTGATAATGCCAGCTGTTGAGGTATATCTACTGTTATGTGTGGAATTTTCCAATACAATTTATCGAAGGAGATCATTGTAGTTTGATCAGTAACTACTTTGGTCTCCAAATCATCTTTAAACAAAACTGCATCTAAATCATTACTTGCTCTAATAAGAACTAATTCTTGTTTCATATTGATTATAATTTTTTTATAATCTTCGAAAAATCCCAAAAACATTTTTAGTAATATTGAAACACAAAACTTTTCATTATCATCCACCAAAATTCGTTCGACCTCTTGTATCTTTGGAAACCAACCTGCATTCTGTAGTTTTAGACTTTCATTGGTATTGTGAGAAAAATAACCTTTTAGAGTAGAAGCTAATCAAACATTTCTCACAGAGTCTATAGTGACTCCGTTTAACTCATAACAAATTTCTCTGAAGAGGAAAGCAATACCGTTATTAACAAATCTTAACCTTTTTGTATAGTTTCATTCATTATTGACTAATTTTTCTTCAAGTAAGCTTTCTTATGGTAAAGTAAATTTATCAAGCTCTTGAATGTGTATTCGTATTTCATCATTGTAATCTAAACTACCCTTAACAAGTAATAAACATGCATAAATATTCAGATTTCCATATTTGCTTCCAACTTAGACTTCGAATCTTGCCATGAAATTAATAGGGTACTAACACTATTTTCAACCTCCATGCAAAATCCTATTCACTCAAACCCCGTCAGAATATGAAAAACTACCCTTAACTAGTGAAAATGCCTAAATATTGAAATTTTTGTTTTTTTTTCCAACTCGGACTTCTAGTTTTGCCATGAAATTAATGGGGTACTATTCCTTACACCATTTCCAACCCCCATGCAGAATCCCATCGACTCAAAACCCGTCGAAATTTGAAAAATTACCCCTAACAAGTAAAAATGCATAAGATCTTCGTATTTTTTTCCAACTCGGACTTTGAGTATTGCCATGAAATTGAGAGGGTACTATTCTAACACCATTTCCAACCCCCATGAAAAATCGCAGACTCAAACCCCGGCGACCGACGAAATATGAAAAACTACCCTAAAGAAGTAAAAATTCATAAATATTCGGATTTTCGTATTTTTTTTTCCAACTCGAACTTCGAGTCTTGCCATAAAATTAATAGGGTACTATTCTAACACCACTTCCCTACACCTATGCAAAATCCCATTGACTCAAACCTTGTCGAAGTACGAAAAACTACCCTTAACAAATGGACATGTCTAAATATTGAGATTTTCGTATTTTTTTCCAACTCGGACTTCGAGTTTTGCCAATAAATTAATAAGGTACACACAGCCCACGAAATGGAACACGTAATTGACGAGATACGCCCAATTATTATTAATACCGCAGATGACTCCTCTGATGACGATAGCGATGATTTTTTTTTCCAATTGAATGCCTATTTCATTTATTTTATTTTTTCTTATGCAAAATGTTAACTTTTGTTCAATTTCCTATTTATTTTGTGTTAAGTAAGATAATAATTATATTTTACTTGTAAAAAATATGTAATAATAACAATAATGATAAAAGTATAATATTCTATAAACAGCATTAGATGAATATATTACATTTTAATTAAATACGAAATGTAAATACTTATCTGAAAAATAGTTATTTTTGTATCAAGGGCGCGAAATGCCAAAGTATTTCGCGCCCGAGTTGCAAACAATATTTTTTCTACAACTCCATTTAAATATCAATCATTCGATGCCAAAATTGCATTTTCAATCAAAAGTAGGTGAATTTTAATTATTTTTGATTTCCTGACAGGTATGTGTCACCATGACACCCAGTGTGCGAACTAGCTATTTCGCGCACGTGTGCGCGAAATAGCTAGTTCGCGCACGGCGTCATGGGAACGTTAAAAAATCAATACCTAGGAAAAAAAGTGTCACTTCGCAAACTGTCATGAGTGTGCGAACATCATCATTTTTTGACAGTTGTAGAAAATAGTTATTTTTGTATCTAGTGCGCGAAATGCTACTACTCGACTATTTTTTTAACTCGGCTGCGCCTCGTTAAAAAAATCAGATCTCGATCACCAAAGTATTTCGCGCCCGAGTTGCAAACAATATTTTTTCTACAACTCCATTTAAATATCGATCATTCGAAGCCAAAATTGCATTCTCAATCAAAGGCAGGTTAATTTTAATTATTTTTGGCATCCTGACAGGTATGCGTCACCATAACACCAGTGTGCGAACTAGCTATTTCGCACACTAGGGTGCGAAATAGCTAGTTCGCACACTGGTGTCATGGGAACGTTAAAAAATCGATACCTGGGAAAAAAAGTGTCACTTCGCAAACTGTCACGAGTGTGCGAACATCATCATTTTTTGATAGTTGTAGAAAAAATATATTTCTTCACAAAATTTCATGACCCACACAACATTTTGAGAATTTCAGGTAGAGCCTGTCCTCTCTTTGTATTTCGCATGATTTTTTGCCATGCCCTGTTTTACAACATACGGGTAACCTCTGGGTGCACAGACTATACTATTCTAACACCATTTCTAACCCCCATGTAAAATCCCATTCTCTCAAACCCCGTCGAAATATGAAAAACTACCCTTAACAAGTAAAAATGAATAAATATTCAGATTTTCGTATTTTTTTCCATTTTGTACTTCGAGTCTTGCCATGAAATTAATCGGGTATCTACCATTTGAACACTATTTTCAAACCTTTTTCAATTTCATAGCAAGAAGACGCGAAGTCCGATTTGGAAAAAAATACAAAAAACGCTATATTTAGGTATTTTATATGTTAAGGCTAGTTTTCCATATTTCGACGGGATTTGAGTCAATAGGACTTTGCATGGGGGGTTGGAAAGTCCGAGTTGGAAAAACATACGAAAATCTGGATATTTATGTATTTTTACTTCTTTAGGGTAGTTTTCCATATGCCGACGGGGTTTGAGTGAATGGGATTATGCAAGAGGGTTGGAAATAGTCTTAAAATAGTACCCTATTAATTTCACGGCAAAGTCCGAGTTGGAAAACATACAAAAGTCTGAATATTTATGCATTTTTACATAATAAGGTTAGTTTTTCATATTCTGACGGGGTTTGAGTGGATGGGATTTTGCATGGGCGTTGAAGATGGCTCTATAATAGTGCCCTATTAATTTCATTGCAAGATTCGAAGTCCAAGTTGAAAAAAATACGAAAATCTCAATATTTATCCATTTTTATTTGTTGAGGGTAGTTTTTCATATTTTGACGGGGTTCGAGTAAATGGGATTTTGCATAGGGGTTGAAAAAGGTGTTGAAATAGTGCTCTATCAATTCCATGGCTAGACTCGATGTCTAAGTATGGTTTATTAAAATTATGAATTTGAAAAAAATGCTACGCCAATGGTCTTTCGGGTGTTTCCGTCAAATTGGCTGCCAAATTTTGGCTGCTAACTTCACACCAATCTGATCTATAACATTTGTGATATGAATATAACGGCTGCTCAAAAGGGAAACTGTATATAATCCTATTGGTCTGTCAGTTATTCATCGCCTAATAGGATCATCGATTGGCAAATTTGTCTTGTAGGTAGTTACCAGTAAGTGTATCGGAAGATGAGTAAACCGGCCTAAGCATTAGGAAGCACTTGGTACGTAATAATCATATTTATAAGTAATTCAGACCAGAGCTTATGCTGTTCATATTCTCGGTTCTCGGTCCTGGTAGGGTTAAATCAGCAGGCGATTGCATAAAGTCGAAATATCTCTGGAAGTATAAGAGTTGTTAAAAGTTGACGTGCATCAAGTACTAACGAAGCACTAACAATTTATCAACAACTGAACGTTGGTGCTTTCCATGTTCCTGCTGGGTGTGAAGTAAGGAGGCGACTTCTGAAATCAGGACTATCTCTGAAAATATGGAGGTTGCCAGTCGAACTATATAAAAAATAATCGCAACACAACCAGCCTCGTCCATATTTCAACTAAATGATGTCGTTCTGCCTTATGAGCTCATACTGAACGATGTGGGTTTTGTGCAAGTGTAGTTTGCCGAAGTGTATCGTTACGTGTATGGCTGGCATTATCTATTTTTTTTTCTCTCAAAACTAAAGGAGGTAGCCCGAGCCCCGAACTTTTTTTCACCATCAGACTACTAGGTTTATAGAGTTATAGAAAACCCTTCGAGAAGTTATTGGAGCAATTTCCACAAAAATGGATTACCTTTCAAGTTACAAGAACAAAATGGCGTGCATCGAAAAAGGTGTGAGAAAAGCATAGATTTCAGGTGGCCATAACCAAATCTTTATGTGTTTCAAAAAAATACCAAGCATTTTTTCTAACTCATTCCCTTCGAGTTATGCAAATTTTAATTTAATGGTTTCTACTTAATTGTTTAAATAAACGGTAAAAAAAACATTCACTATAATTCGAGTTCCAGAAAATGTCATTTTCGACCCCTAAACAAATCATTGAGATCTCGGGAACGGTGAAAAAACAGAGTTCGTTAAATTAAATGCCGTTTCTATATTTTGGATATTCCGAATACCTACTTCCGGAGATATCCCGAAAAAAAAACAATTTTTTTCGAAATTGTTTTTATTTCTTTTTCTACTGACGTTTCATAATAGCAACTTTTCGATTGTCATTTTAGTTTTGAAACGACATTCTTTTAAGCACTGAGTGCGTGAAAGTTACTTTTAAGCACTCAGTGCGTAAAAGTGACTTCTGAATGCGTAAAAGTGACTTTTGAGTGCGTAAAAGTAATTTTTAAGCACTAGTGCCTAAATGTGTCATTCATTATTCAGAAATAAAAAACACACTAAACACATATTTGAATTTTGTTTTGTATTTATTATGAATATTGAAAATGGAATTACTGAATTGAACGTTTGGGTTATTCAAAACAGAACTTTGTGTTGTTACCTACTTTCTAGGATTTTAATTATTGATGTCGAATCTTGAAAAAAAAAAATCGCATGAAAAGTGTCAGGTGTGAAGTAAAAGCAGGTAACAAAGATTTTCGGCGTAATCGACTTATTCACATGAAATAAAATTGTGTTTTTTTATTATAAAATGCCAGTAGAAAAAATCTTGTATACAATACGTTACGAAACGATGTCTTTTAGTCACTCGACGTGTTGTCCAACTCGGCTTTGCCTCGTTGGACAATTTTCACGTCGCATGCCTAAA